ATTACTCTTTATGTAGGAACACCTATTCTTTGTAAATTTTGCCTTTTCTCCAAAACAATCCTTGATGCTGTGGCATCTGTCATAGGGTGTGATGCCTGCAGCCTTCTCTGAGCCACCTACACATTCCTTCCAGACTATGTGTCTATTTTTCCCCATGATATAAGCCCTGGGTCTTGGGGGTTGAGGTTCAGAGATCTACCTGTCTTGCAGCCACCCATGGACCATGCTTCCATCTGTAAGTTCCTCCTAATTAATCACCCTATACTGACAAACTGGATTTGTCTGCCTTCTTTGGCTTCTCGGCTCCTTCAGCATTTGAGGGTCACTTTACATATACAGTTTTTTCAGGGAACAATCATAGAATGAGTTGGAAGTGTTCTCTTCTATTTGTTGGTAGAGTTTGTGAAGGGTTGGTATTAATTCTTTATTATTTCAATATTTGGTGGAATTCACCAGTGAAGCCATCTGGTTCTGGGCTTTTCTTTGTGGAGAGTTTTAAAGTTACTAATGTGATCTCTTGTTTTATTTATTTTCAGATTTTTTATATCTTCTTGAGTCAGTTTTGGTACTTTATATCTCTCTAGGAAATTGTTTCATGTAAATTATCTGTTGGCCTATACTGTTGATCATAGTATTTCCTTGAAATCCTTTTCATTTATGTATGGTCAGTAGTGATTTCCCCTCTTTAATTCTTTATTTTAATAATTTAAGGCCGGGCAGGGTGGCTCACGCCTGTAATCCCAGCACTTCGGGAGGCCGAGGCAGGCGGATCACAAGGTCAGGAGTCAAGACTGGCCTGGCCAATATGGTGAAACCCCATCTCTACTAAAAACACAAAAATTAGCCGGGCGTGGTAGTGTGCGCCTGTAGTCCCAGCTACTCAGGAGGCTGAGGCAGGAGAATCGCCTGAACCTGGGAGGCGGAGGTTGCAGTGAACCAAGATCATGCCACTGCACTGCAGCCTGGGCGACAGAATGAGGCTCTGTCTCCAAAAAAAAAAAAATTTATTTAAGTCCCCTCTCCTTTATTCCTTGTCAATCTATCTAAAGTTTTATCAATTCTGTTGATCTTTCCAAAGAACCAATTGGTGGTTTTGCTAATTTTCTCTATTGTTTTTCTTTTTCTTTTTTTTTTTCTGAAACAGAGTTTTGCTCTTGTTGCCCAGACTGGAATGCAACAGCGCTATCTCAGCTCACTGCAACCTCTGCCTCCCGGATTCAAGCAATTCTGTCTCAGCCTCCAAAGTAGCTGGGATTACAGGCATGCACCACCACACCCGGCTAGCTTTTTTTTTTTTTTTTTTTTTTGAGACAGAGTTTCGCTCTTGTCAGTGGCGCAATCTTGGCTGGAGTGCAGTGGTGCAATCTCAGCTCATTGCAAGTGATTCTCCTGCCTCAGCCTCCCGAGTAGCTGAGATTACAGGTGCCTGACACCACACCCAGCTAATTTTTTGTATTTTTATTAGAGATGGGGTTTTGCCATGTTGGGCAGGCTGGTCTCGAACTCCTGACCTCAGGTGATCTGCCCGCCTCGGCCTCCCAAAGTCCTGGGATTACAGGTGTGAGCCACTGCGCCCGGCCCTTTTTTCTTTTTTTTTAATATAAGCATTTACAGCTATAAATTTTCCTTCTTTTTCACTGCTTTAGCTGTATCTCATAATTTTGGTATGTTGTGTTTTTGTTTACATTCATCTCAAAGTATTTTCTAATTTTCCTTGCAATATCTTCTTTAACTTACTGATTATTTAAGGATGTGTTGTTTAATTTCTGTATATTTGTGAATTTCCAAAAGTTAGTTCTGTTATTGGTTTCTAATTTAATTCTATTGTGGTTGGAGAATATTCTTTGTATGACTTCAGTCCTTTTAAATCTACTGAGGCTTGTTTTATTCATTTTATTTTATTTTGAGATGGAGTTTCACTCTTGTTGCCCAGGCTGTAGTGCAATGGAGCTATCTCGGCTCATTGCAACCTCCGCCTCCCAGGTACAAGCGATTCTCCTGCCTCAGCCTCTCAAGTAGCTAGGATTAAAGGCATGTGCCACCACGCCCAGTTAATTTTGTATTTTTAGTAGAGATGAGGTTTCTCCATGTTGGTCAGGCTGGTCTTGAACTCCCAACCTCAGGTGATCTGCACACCTCGGCCTCCCAAAGTGCTGGGATTACAGGCATGAGCCACCACGCCCGTTGAGGATTGTTTTATGATCCATTCTGGAGACTCTAACATATGATCCATTCTGGAGAATCTTCCATGTGCAATTTAGAAGAATGTGTAGTATTGTGTTGTTGAGTGTTATTTGATGTCTGTTAGGTTTAGTAGGTTTATAATGTTTCCCATGTCTTCTATATCCTTATTGATTTTCTACCTAATTGCTTGAAACCTGTAATTTTAAGATAGGTGGGAGGATTGCTTGAGTCAGATTCTATCTCTGTTGCCCAGGCTGGAGTGCAGTGGCGCGATCATAGCTCACTATAACCTGGAACTCCTGGGCTCAAGTGATCTTCCCCTCTGCCCCAACAACCTCTTGAGAAGCTAGGATCACAGGCATGCACCCCTGCACCTGGCTAATACAATTATCATTTGTGTAAATTTAAAATTTATTCATACAACAATGCACAGGTTTCAGTAACACATATTACATTAGTTATCTATAGCTGCTTCCAAATTACCCCCAAACTTAAACAGCAATAAACATTTATTATCTTCTATGGCTTCTATAAATCAGGAATTCTACGGGCGAGAACAATTTAGCTGGGTGTTCTTGGCTCAGGGTCTCTCATGGGTTGTACTCAAACCGACAGCCAGGGCTGCAGTCATCTGGAGGTCAAACTGGAGCTGGAGGATCCATTTCCGAGGTGGCTCACTCCCATGGGTGGCAAGTTGTGGTGGCTGTCAGTGAGAGGCCTCAGTTCCTCACTATATGAGCCTCCCCACAGGGCTGCTTGGATATCATCACGACAGCAGCTGGCTTCCCCCAGAGTGAGCGATCCAAGAGGGAGCAAAGGGGTAGCTGCACTGCTTTTATTTTATTTTATTTTATTTTGAGACAGTCTCACTTTGTCACCCAGGCTGAAGTGCAGTGGCACGATCTCAGCCTACTGCAACCTCTACCTCCTGGGTTCAAGTGATTCCTGCCTCAACCTCCCGAGTATCTGGGAGTACACGCATGCATCACCATGCCCGGATAATTTTTGGGTTTTGTTGTTGTTGTTGTTGTTTGTTTGTTTTTTGAGATGGAGTTTCACTCTTCTGCCCAGTCTGGAGTGAAGTGGCGTGATCTCGGTTCATTGCAATCTCCACCCCCTGGTTCAAGCAATTCGTCTGCCTCAGCATCCCGTGTAACTGGGATTTTGGCACCTGCCACCACACCTGGCTAATTTGTGTATTTTTAGTAGAGACAGGGTTTCGCCATGTTGGCCAAGCTAGTTTTGAACTCCTGACCTCAGGTGATCCACCTGCCTCTGCCTCCCAAAGTGCTGGAATTATGGGTGTGAGCCACCGCACCTGGCCTGATGCACATCTTTTCCATCTCCTTTTTCATATGTTCACATAAGCACAAAAAACTTTACATTTCTATTTTTTATTTTTTGGTGTATTTATTTTTACGCGGCTGGGATCTTACTGTATATATTGATCTACAACTAGCTTTTTTCACAACTATATGTTTTGAAGAGTTTTTCATGTCATTTAACAAAGGTCTGTCATTATTTTTATTCCTGTACATTATTTCATAGTATGGAGATGCCAAAATTTATTTAATGACTTCCCTACTGATGGACATGCAAGTTGTTTCTACTGATCTTTCTTTTTTCTCTTCTCTTCTCTTCTCTTCCCTTCTCTTCTCTTTTCTTTCGATGTCTTGCTCTGTCACCCAGGCTGGAATGTGGTTGTGCGATCTCAGCTCACTGCAACCTCTGCCTCTCCGGTTCAAGCAATTCTCTGGCCTCAGCCTCCCAAGTAGCTGGGACTACAGGCACGCGCCACCACAGCCAGCTAATTTTTTGTATTTTTAGTAAAGACAGAGTTTCATCAAGTTGGCCAGGATGGTCTCCATCTCTTGACCTCATGATCTGCCTGCCTCCGCTTCCCAAAGTGCTGGGATTATAGGCGTGAGCCACCACCTGGCCTCTTTTTCCCTTTCTCTGTGATGGGCTGCATATCTTTCTCACTGTACATCCACCTTTTTACTTTCTCTTCACTTATTTGATCTCCCCTGGGGTTCAAGAATGGGGGACAAGGGACATGCAGACTGGATTCTGCTACAGGCAGAGGTCCTTGAAAGACAGAAGGGGCTGCTGTGGCAGATTCGCGATTCCTTCAGCCCACCTTCTCCTAACTAGCTCTTGGAGGATGTGATGCAACTCAGGAATGCCATGGTCCTTGCCTTCAGAGACCTCATGTCTAGCACAGGGACAGACATGTGAGTAACCTATGGGAGGCAGGCTAGCATCAGGTGAGGGGTAGCCTTCCAAGTCCAACTGACGGCTTGGGTTTTCATCCCACCCCACCACTTAACAGATGTTTGACATTGGGCAAGTTATTTCACTTCCCAATATCTCAGTTCCCACACATCTAAACTGAGTCTCTTTTTTTATTAAAAGGTTGCTCTGATAAATAAATAAGATGCTTAGCACAGTGCCTGGCACACAGTAATCTATGAATATTGAACTGTTGGGAAACTAGCCAGGCTGTGGTCCTACCAATCACACAGGAACCCATGGGCTCTGGGCCTGCGGGATTTGAAGAAGTCTTCATGAATGAAAGGCGGAGACCTGAAGAATGGGCAGTACCTCCTGGTGGAGCTGGAGGAAGGTATTCTGGGGCATGGAAAGGTAAATGTAAACGCACAGTAGAAATCGGAGGCATATTTAGGGCATGGCAAATCGCACCCTGTGGCTGGAATGTCACGTTCATTGGCGGGGGAGGAAAGGCCTTTCAGGGATGTATGCAGGCAGCCTTCTGGCAGAGGAAGGAGGTTCAAGTCTTCTCCATGGACCAGAGCTCCAAAGCTGAAGTCACAGGTCCACCATAGGACCACTGTTGAGGTTAGGCATGGCTGGAAAGGAGCTCCCTTCCCCACTATCCTCCTGCTTTCTTCAGCATGGGCCTCCTCCCAAGGCTTGGCCACTCCCAGCATCCAGCACCCCCACCTCTCAGCCGGGTTGGGAGGCAGGCGGAGGCTTTTCGCGGGGGCTGTGCCTGGTGGGCGGTTTTCCCAGAGCAGGGAGCACACAGGACTGAGTTGGCGCCTGCTTCCTCGGATGTAGACATTACTGGCTGGATGACCAGCCTAAGCCAGCTAGCTTGAGTCCAGGGCCTCCTCAGGCACTGTGTTTCTGCTCTGTGGGCTGCAGCCCCATAACCCAGTGGGGTGGCATGTCACAGAGGAAGGCCAGAGGGCCGCCAGCCATGCCAGGGGTGGGCCACAGCCAGACTCAGGCCAAAGCACGGTTGCTGCCAGGCGCTGACAGGAAGAGGAGCCGTCTCAGCAGGACAAGGCAGGACCCGTGGGAAGAAAGAAGCTGGAGCAATCAGAGATGGAGCAGAGCTACCCCTGGCCCTCGAGGGACCAGGGCTGGGGGCCTGGCTCTTGGCAGGGTAAGGAAATCCTGGACCTGCAGAGGGGTCCAGGGGAGGAAGGGGTTGGAGGGTGGGGAGATGCCACCTCCGATGGCAGAGCCTCACTCAGTATTACCGTTCCTGCCCAAGAGAGGGGACACTGGCCCCTTAGACTCCAAGGTGTCATGCTTTGGGTGGATGGGATAGATCAGAGCTCTCTGAGCTGCACTCACTCACTTCTCTTGAGGAAACTGAGGCCAGGAAGAGGGACGTGAATTTCCCAAGGTCACTGAGCAGCAGCCACTGGTAGGACTGGGACTTCAGCCTTGTGCTTTGACCCCAGTTCTGTGTCTTTCCTCTTTCCCACAGCAGCCTCGTCGTCTCAGGACCTGGCTAGGTCAAGGGTCAGCCCTCCCAAACAGGGTGTGTCTCTGAACTGCCCCTGGCCCCAGCGCACCCTGATAAGCAGGATTCAGATTGGGCTTAGGACAAAGGCTCTGAGGAGGCATGAGTGGAGTAGTAGAGAGAACACAGGACTCTGGGTTCTGAGCCAAGCTCTGCCATCCTGCAGCCATCTGACCCCTGCCCAGGCCTTCCCTCAACTTCCTCAGCTGTGAAACAGGGCAGGGCTGAAGATGACAAAGGAGGGCAGAGGCCCTCTGGCGCCTGCTGTTAGACACCCTCCTACTCTGGCAGGAGACCTTTCACTCAAATGCTCTCAGAAGTCAGGGCAGTTGGGAGTCCAAGTCACACACACTCACTGGGGCCCTTTGTGCAGAGCGAGGCCTGTCCTGAGAACGCCGCGCGGGAGCGGAGCCGGGTCAGGACGCTGCGCCAGGCCTTCTTGGCCTTGCAGGCTGCTCTGCCTGCCGTGCCGCCCGACACCAAGCTCTCCAAGTTGGACGTGCTGGTGCTCGCCGCCAGCTACATAGCCCACCTCACCCGCACGCTCGGCCACGAGTTGCCTGGCCCCGCCTGGCCACCCTTCCTGCGTGGACTCCGCTACTTGCACCCTCTCAAGGTAGGTCACAAGCCCTGGGACTTGAGAGGCAGATCTTAATGCCTAGGGCCTTGGAGAAAGGGATTGGAATGAGGGGGACTTTGGCCTTGGGCTCCCTGCCTTGCGCAGAACTGACATCGGGGCCAGTTTCTTCTGCTGTCTCAGAGAGAGAGGAGCCAAGGCTGGCCCTTGGGGCTGCGCTGACCCTGGGTTTCTCATGGGGTGGTGGCTGGAAATGACTTCATGGGAATGTGCCTCCTTGAAGAGGAGGGAAAGACTCTGGGGTTCTTAGAGTCATGGGGAAAAAAAGAGCAGGTTCCAAGTCTGGGTCCTAGGAAAGGAAATTGTACCAAGGAGAGTCCTAGATCCCCATGCAGCTTCACCCCATTGTGCCTGCCTTGGTGCTTTCTGGGCTTCTGTTGCAGGAGAGATCTGCCCTCCAGGAGAACAATGGTCTGAGGGACCATCATTCTAGAAGCAACCAAGCTGGGGGAGTTAGCAGGGAGCAGTACAGGGAAGGTGTGCACCGCTTGCCAGACTGCAACCTAGCTTTTCTCAACCTCAGTTTTATTACATGTAAAATAGAAGCTAACATGAGCCTTACTTCTCTTCCAAGGTACAAAATGGAAAGTCTAATGAACATTAATCATCTTTGCAATAACAGCTAACAGTTGAGTGCTAAAGATAGGCCAGGAGCTGGGTTAAGTACGTTAGTGTATTTTTGTCTTTTAATCCATGCAAAAGCCAAATGAGGATTACTTTACAGATGAGGAAACTGAGCTTAGGGAGGTTATGAGGCTGAATGCTGTTTGAACCCAGGGGTGTCTGACTTCAGACCCCATGCTCATAGCCACTAAACAGACTACAGGGACAGCGCCATAAGGAGGTGAAGAGTGCACTGTGTTAAAAAGGAAGGGTCATCTTTGCCCTCTGAGGATAACATTGCAGTGGTATCAACTTATTTATTTATTTATTTACTATTATTTTTTTGAGACAGAGTTTCACTCTGTTGCTAAGGCTGGAGTGCAGTGGTGCAATCTCGGCTTACTGCAACCTCAGCCTCCCGGTTCAAGTGATTCTCCTGCCTCAGCCTCCTGAGTAGGTGGGATTATAGGCATGCACCACCACACCCAGCTAATTTTTGTATTTTCAGTAGAGACAGCATTTCACCACGTTTCCTAGGTTGGTCTCAAACTCCTGACCTCAGGTGATCCACCCACTTCGGCCTCCCAAAGTGCTGGGATTACAAGTGTGAGCCACCGCACCCGGCTATTTATTTATTTACTTACTTCTTTTTGGGACAGGGTCTCACTGTCACCCATGCTAGAGTGCAGTAGTGCAATCATAGCTTACTGTAACCTCAAACTCCTGGGCTCAAGGAATCCTCCCACCTCAGCTTCCCCAGTAGCTGGGACTACAAGCGCATGCCACCACACCTGGCCTTCTTTTTTTTTTTTTTGTAGAGACGGTGTCTCACTTTGTTCCACAGGCTGGTCTCAAACTCTAAGCTCAAGTGATCCTCTCACCTCTGAACTTTATTTTTATGATACTTTTCACCATCTCTTTCCCCTAAATGTCATAGTTCTGAAATGTCTTGAAACTTGATTTTTTTTCTTCAATGCAAATATAGCTAAAATGTGCGAATTTGAGACTAAGTGGGGGAACTCTGAAATGTCAGTGGTGGTGCAGGGTCCTGGCGTGGTATAGTAGTTTCCTTAGCTGTAAAATAGTGACCAAGGCAAGGCCCTTGCTTGTAGTAGGTGATCAACAGCTAAGCTGAAGGATGAACCAAGGAGGGCCCGGTTAGGTCCAACACTCCAGCACATCCACAGGGTGGAGCAGTTGGCCAGGAAGCAGCTCCCTCAGCCCCCAGGTGGAGAGGTTGTGAAGAGGAGGGCGACCACAGGGCAGTCAACCTGGTGCATTCTGGGACTGCTCATGCTTCTGCTGGAAAGATGGGCAATCCTTGGAGGGCCCGGCTTGGAGTTTTTCCTGGCTCTGCTGCTCTGCCCATTGCCCAGCCTCTGGCTGTTGCCAGCTCTGCCCAGGCCACCTGATCTTCTGTTCACCTCCCTCCCAACAGAGGGCTGCTATTTTTGGGGCCCTCTCCCTCCTCAGATGGCTCCTCCTGTGTCTCTCATCCAGGCTCTGGGTGATCAGGAAAATGTGTGGGGCTGTACATGAGGATGACCCTGATCAGAGCAGTGATGGCTGGGGAAGGTATCAGGGAGGGATGCTGGAGAAGGCTGGGTTTTGGGTGTCAAGGATCCTGGACTATGACGGGCTGCAAGAGCAGCATTTCTCACTTCTCAATCTGTGTCTTGCAGAAGTGGCCGATGCGATCTCGTCTCTATGCTGGAGGCCTGGGGTACTCTGATCTTGACTCCACCACAGCAAGCACCCCCAGCCAAAGAACAAGAGACGTAGAGGTGGGATCCCAAGTCCCTGGAGAGGCAGATGCTCTCTTTTCTGCCACGCCACTCTCACCAGCTCTTGGTGACAAATAATTATCACACTTGCCTTTTCTCCTAGACTGTGATTCATGCTTAGGGACCTGGATTTTCTACCAGCCCCTACCTGTCTTCACTCTGATTCTCAGCCATCAGACTTGATTCAGACTCAGCTCCCAAGTTCCAGCATGCAGACCAAGAGAAGCAGTAGCACTTCTGTGATGAACAGTACCAGAAGGGCATAGGATGGAGAGCCTCCTCCTTGGTCCCCAAGAGGGGACTTCCCCATGGCTCTTCTGTGACAGCTACTGGGAAGTGGGAGAGAAAGAGGTATAATTGGGCTCAAAGTTGAGCTAGGGAACCACCCTAACTTTCTTCCCCTAAGGTTTCTACAAACCCTCTGCAGATAACGAAGACAGGTGCAGAGGGAGGGGCCTGGGATGGCACCAGCCCCAGGTGCTGATGGGAAAGCCAGGTGACCAGATAGGCTCTTGGTAGCTGCAAGTGTAAACAGATCTGGGCTGGGTCACACAGCCAGAAGAAAACTGAAGAAGGGAATGTGCTTTCTAATTGCATCATGAGATGCTTACCTGATGTTAGAGAGAGAGTGAGGAATTCAGGATTCCTGCCTCTGTAGTGTCTGTAGTATGGGCCTCTCCAGAAGCTGCCCCTCACCACTACACTTTCTCTCTCTCTTGGCTCCTGCACTCTTCCACTCTTTTCTTCTTCTTTTTATGTAGAGATGGGGTCTTGATATGTTGCCTAGGCTGGCCTTGAACCCCTGGCCTCAAGTGATCCTCCCACCTCAGCCTCCTAAAGTGCTGGGATTGCAGGCATCATCTCTGGCCCTAAAGAAATAACTTGAGAACTAATCATAGAATCTACACACACTGAAAATAATTTTCCAGATCAGATATAGCCTCAAACCTGGCACCTGAAGTCCAGACAGGGAACAAATTACCTTTCGGTTAAATATCAGCCCTTCAGAGTGAGAGGGGATGGGCATGACCAACTAGAGTCCCAATAAGGTTATCCTTAGACACACACCATTGTTGTCATCATGAATGTAAGTGAGCTCTAGGCAGGCTGGGAATGGTTAGGGTCTGGGTTCTGGCATGACAGGACCCTGTACCTCCATAGGGCTGGCCAGGGCAGAGCTGAAATAGGGCTGGAGGTGCAACTGAGCCAGTTGTGGTAGAGGTAGAAAAAGAGACACAGAACATCCCAGCCCCAAGCTGCCTGGGATGTGGGAGAACAGCTGGAATGTGGCCGGGAGCCATGGGGAGAAGGCCTCGGCCAAGGCTGAACTCATAAATCTGCCTTGAACCAAGTCTCTGCAGAGGGACCCTGGAAAACTTGTGCAGAGCTGATGTGGGCAGCTGGACAGGGCCAGGCAGGGGCAGAGGCCAGGTGTGGGAGGGCATGAGCACAGTGTTCTTCACAAGACCATAAAAGTCCAGCTAGAATGTACTACTTTTAAAGCCAAACAGCAGTATCTTCCTGGTTGAGTTCACAGGGGTGGTAGGAAGAGAAGCAGATACATTTCCTCCTCAGTTGGTGGCACACTGTTGTCCTGGGGGTGAAGGGAAATTGGCTTGGGGGGTGTGTCGGGGTTCTTCAGATAGCATAGAACTTCTCCTGATGATAGAGTAGACTTTGGGTTGGAGCTTGCCCCACCCTGCCCTGCTCAGACTCAGGCCTTTGCTTAGTAACATTAGAGCCCTCTGGAGTGACTGCATGGCCCTGGTGGAGACAAGGAGGGCACAGGAAGGATGATGCAGGTGGAGGGCCGTAGGAGGCGGGCCCCATCACAACAAGTGTCTCAGGCTGTCTTGGGCCCTTTCCAGGCAAAGCTGTTCTCATTTGTGCCCAGGACAGTCGTGGGGGGCAGGGCAGAGGCCATCTCCTCCAGCCACGGAGACCCAGCCCCGTCAGGCCAGCAAGCAAAGAGGCCTGGAAGAGGGCAGGGTGAGCCAAGGGGATGGATGGGAATAACCAGAGGATGGACTGGGCCCTCCCTCCCTGACAAGCACAGTCATGCCCTTGAGACATGTCAGGACTTGGATTCGCCAATGAACCAGAACCAGGAGTAGCCCCTTTGTCTCTGCAGCGAGAAAGAAAAACACGGCCCAGTTTGGTGGCTCATGCCTGTAATCCCAGCACTTTGGGAGGCTGAGGCGGGCAGATCATGAGGTCAGGAGTTCGAGACCAGCCTTGCCAACATGGTGAAAACCCTTCTCTACTAAAAATACAAAAATTTGCCAGATGTCATGGTGGGCACCTGTAATCCTAGCTACTTGGGAGGCTGAGGCAGGAGAATTGCTTGAACCCGGGAGGCAGATTGCAGTGAGCCAAGATCGCGCCACTGCACTCCAGCCTGGGCGAAGAGAAAGACTCCATCTAGGAAAAAAAAGAAAACAAAAAAAAAGAAGTAAAAGAAAATATGGATGAAAACATTTGAGTATGGATGACAAATGACACTAGGGTGGCCTGGCTCAGGAGGTGGAGGCTCAGCTGCTCCACAGGGGACTGGCCTGGCCCACTTGGTCTTCCTGTACCACCTGCCCCATCCCCAGGACTTGGGACTGGGATGGAGGTAGAGGTGGGGAACAAGACTTCCCTGCTGGCTCCCTCCACAGAGCATGTGCTTTCTGAGGAACAGGATGGCAGGGTGGAGGCTTCGATGGGGCTTTGGGGCTGGGTGTGGTGGCTGATGCCTGTAATCCCAGCACTTTGGGAGGCCAAGGGGGCAGATCATCTGAGGTCAGGAGTTCAAGACCAGCCTGACCAACGTGGTGAAACCCTCTCTCTACTAAAAATATGAAATTAGCTGGGCATGGAAATATGTCTCTACTAAAAATATGAAATTAGCTGGGCATGGTGGCACATACCTATAATCCCAGCTGCTCGGGAGGCTGAGGCAGGAGAATTGCTTGATCCCAGGAGGTGGAGGTTGCATTGAGCTGAGATCATGCCATTGCACTCCAGCCTGGGTGATAAGAGTGAAACTCCATCTAAAAAAAAAAAAAAAAAAAGGGCCGGGCGCGGTGGCTCAAGTCTATAATCCCAGCACTTTGGGAGGCCGAGACGGGTGGATCACAAGGTCAGGAGATCGAGACCATCCTGGCTAACACAGTGAAACCCCATCTCTACTAAAAAATACAAGAAAAAAACTAGCGGGGCGAGGTGGCGGGCGCCTGTAGTCCCAGCTACTCAGGAGGCTGAGGCAGGAGAATGGCGTAAACCCCGGAGGCGGAGCTTGCAGTGAGCTGAGATCCAGCCACTGCACCCCAGCCTGGGCGACAGAGCAAGACTCTGTCTCCAAAAAAAAAAAAAAAGATGGGGCTGTGGGAGAAGCAGACCTGGCCCGGTGATTTCTAAGTAATACAGTGGACACTGGATTTTACCAAATTGGGAACTGGAGAAGTAGAGGATCTAGCCTTCTCTGAGACTCTTTTTCTCTTCCTCTGGGAGGAGCCTGGCTGGGGTGAGTCAGGTGGCACTGTCCTCTCCCTTTTGTGGCATGAGCTCTAAACCCAGGGCCCCTAAACGCTTATTCTATTCTAGATCAAGGTAGGCAAACTATGGCCAGTAGGCCAAACCCAGCCCCCCGTGTATTTTTGTAAATAAAGTTTTATTGGAACACATCCACACCCAAGTGTTTACATGTTATTTATGGCTGCCTTTCTGATAGCATTGCAGAGTCAAATAGCTGCACTAGAGACTGAAAAGCCTAAAATATTTACTTTCTGGCCCTTAATAGAAGTTTGCTAACTCCTGCTCCAGCTCAGAGGTATTCAAAGTATGGTCTAGGAACCCTGGGAGTCTCTGAGGCCCTTAAGGTGGTGTAAGTGGCCAAAACTACTTTGATAGTTTTATAATTTTAGGCCGCACACGGTGGCTCGCACCTGTAATCCAGCACTTTGGAAGGCGGAGGCGAGTGGATCTCTTGAACCCAGGAGTTCAAAACCAGCCTGGGCAACGTGGCAAAACCCTGTCTCTACTAAAAATAGAAAAATTGGCCGGATGTGGCAGCTGTAATCCCAACTACTGGGAGGCTAAGGCATGAGAATCGCTTGAACCCAGGAGGCAGAGGTTGCAGTGAGCCAAGATCACACCACTGCACTCTAGCCTGGGTGACAGAGCGAGACTCCGTCTCAAAAAACAAAACAAGGTGGGCATGGTGGCTCACGCCTGTAATCCCAACACTTTGGGAGGCTGAGGAGGGCAGATCGCTTGAGGTCAGGAGTTTGAGCCCAGCCTGGGCAATAGGTGAAACCCCGTCTCTACCAAAAATACAGAACAATTAGCTGGACATGGTGGTGGGCATCTGTAGTTCCAGCTACTCAGGAGGCTGAGGCAGGAGAATCGCTTGAACCCCAGAGGCAAAAGTTGCGGTGAGCCGAGATCGTACCACTGCACTCCAGCCTAGGTGAAAGAGAAAGACTCCGTGTTCTTACCACTTCTCACCACAGCACTCCAGCTTGGGCAACAGGAGTGAGACCCTCTCTCAAACAAACAAACAAAAAATAAGTTACTTATATTTTTTACTCTCACTCCCTCAAGAGTGTAGTGGAATTTTCCAGGAGCCACATGACATGTGATATTGCAACAAATGGAGTGAAGAAGCAGATAAGAGACTCCAGCTGTCTATTACAACAGACATAAAGATATTTCGAAAAACTGCAAGAAGCACCTACCATCTCACTAAATATTTTCTTCTTATATGGGAAGCAAATTTTCCCAATAATATTGCATAAAAATTTGATTATATGGTTCACATAAAATGGGTTTCATCAATATGTTATTTTTAATAAATATTTTAAAATTCTGTATTTAATTTATATGTGATGGTTATGGATAGATAAACTCACATAAGCAAAAGCTCTCAGGGTCCTACTTTTTTAAGAAGTAAAGGGGTTCTGAGAACAAAAATTATGAGAACATCAACTCTAGAATAGCTTGTCGATGGTCGAGGAAAGCCCCTGGCCTGCCCGCCGGCTCACCCCTGTACTGAGACAGCTCTACTTGGTCCAGAGACAGAGGACTTGGGTTGAGGGGGAGTGCCTGGCACAGTGAGGACAGAGGCAGAGTCCTGAGTCAATATCACAGGGAGGTCTCCTGGAGGACACAGGGTGGGCTGCTCCCCTGATGGGCCGTGCCAGCCAGAGTTATGGCCTCCTTGTCTCTGCTATACTCCAGCACACCATTCCTCAGCTTCTCAGGAAACAGGCCGGTGTCCACAAGGTGGTCCTGCAAACACAGAGCTGGTGAAGGTGAACGACAGGTGGTGATAGGATTCACGCAGAAAAGGTCCCCGCTAGAAGGGAGCCCAGCAAGGCTGGGTGCAGGAGGGAGAGCACAGCCTAGTGGGGAGCACAGGGTGGGCTGGGGAGGGGAGTTGACCAGCCCAGGCCGGGGCTGAGCTCCTCTGAGCCCTGAGATCCTTCTGCCCCTCAAGCCAGTGCAGCCCTGTGGGTAGAACCTGAGACAGCCGTGTGGGACACATGCTTAGCTGATCCTGAGAGAGAGAAAGAGGCACTAGGGGCAGGGGGAGAGAAAAGGGGTGGAAGGGAACCTGAAGAGTCGGTGGCATCTGCGGAGAAAGGCAGGGAGGCATCACTTGGACAGCAGGTACTACCTGGCCGTAGCTCCTGGCGTGGAGCCTCTTCTGACAGGACAAGGGAAGGAGGAACAGGAGCTTCGGCAACACTGGGTTCCCAGTGTTCGGCAACACTGGGAATGCGAGGCAACA